ACATATAAAACACCAAACTGTTTAATATGTTTTAATGCTATAATATGTTTTAATGCTAAAACATTTTTTTATTTTTTTTATTTTATATTAAAGCCTATATTTATTTCTATCTAGATTGCCTTGATTACTGCACAGCAAAAGATTTGTTTGTTCTTCAATTTGTCTACACACAGTGTTCCTGTTTTTGAGTTTCCTTTGCCTCAACCAGCCACTAAAATACAAATGTTAGGAGATTTCATTCTTTGTTTAATGGGTAAAAGTTGTTATCGTCTGATAAACAATTCACTTTTCAGCCAGTAGGAATTAAGAGTTTCATTTTCTGTACAGTGTGGGTTTTAATTTAATGATTTCCCCAAGTCCACTCTACTAGAGTAGGAACCTGACTCTGTTTGGGGAAAGTGCAGACAGTTGGACATGCTTACCATATAAACAGATAAACTAAGCATTGCCTATGAGGTGGATCACTTGATTCATTATTTAAAATAACTTTTTTTTCAGTTTTCTGAATTATATGTTTTTTAAATAAAAATGTGTTTTTTTAAAAGCTTTTTTTTTCTTCTCTATTTTTGTGTGCAGCCAATTTTAGAATCAATTTAGTAAAAAGTATTTTTCTTAAACAAGGTGATGGTGTACTTGAGACATGTCAAGTGATTACAGACAAAGACAATAAAATATCTTTGTCAAAGTGGACACAAATGGACCTGAGTGGCCATGCAGTCTTACAGGATCAAGATGTCTTTATTTATGTGGTAGACTTTGTTTTGCAAGGGCATATATTTGGATTTACTACAAGATATGGTAATTCCAGTTCCCCATAGTTTTACCTGTGAATACATAGATGTATTTCATTTTTTTTTAAAGAATTGCTCTTTTCCTTTTTTTATTTGCATTATTTAACAACATTAATGTTGAAGTTGCATTTTTAAAATGGAATTTTTGTGACCAATGTTTTTTAAGGGAGATTTTTTTCTTTTTTTTTGTTTTTTGGATAAAACATTTTATCTGATCTTCATTTACAGGCCTTGTGTTTGTTAGCTATATGGACACATTAACCCTTTCCTGCCTTCTTCGAAACTTGAAGTGTGTTCATCAAGTACATTTGGACTCCACTGGGTTTATTTCTAAAATGGCAGTTGACCAGCAACATGGACCTAAGTTTGCAATCATTGAACGCTACTTTGATGAAATCCAGTGGGTCTCAAAAGTGCATGTGTTTGAATTGGGCTGATTTGTCAGTATTTATTTAGCTTTACATCTTCAAAATATTTTTATAATTTAGTCCCTTACCTCCCATTTTCCACTAAATGTAGATATTACATATTATTGGAAGAAACAAAAATGTATCAAAAATACTTTATCCATTTGTTGATGGTTATATAAGTAAAAATCTGCCAGTATATGTAGACTGAAAAATAACTTCTTCCAGTTTCTTTCTTTATAAATGTATATCAAAATTAAGCACAGATGTGTCAGTCTGAATCTTTACCCAATATCATAAATATTATCTTGATAATCAGATTTATACAAAAGCATTGCATACAACCTCGCTAGAGAGAATGGCAGAAATTAAAGTAAAAGTGATCAAAGTAAAAATGGGAAGATGAATGAAATGTCCTCTGTTTCTGTGGCCCATGTTTTAGGTAGTCATGTGGCCAGCATAACGACGAACCGCCTTTACTTTGCCCAACTAATGTCAGGTACCCATTAGAGCTGGGTGGACTCAGAGGCACCCTAAAGATTCCAAATTAAAATTCCCAAGTCTAAGATTCGAACACAGGACCCTTCTGTTCAGAAGTCAAGCGCTTTACCACTCAGCCATTGCGCCTCTGCTGAAACAGTTTCTTATATGCTAAGTATTTATTTCTGTACAATTTGTCTTAACTTTCATAAGTGGACAAATAAAGTTGAGCATCTTTGATCTTTTACCTTGTATTCCATTGAGAGCCTTCTTTTGGATTGTCCATACATGGTATTTCTATGAAGGTACCTTATGCTATCTTCAATAGATTTTGTTTCAGATTTTTTTTGTTAATGTAATTTGTAAACTATTTTTTAAAAATACATGTCAATGTACTTAGCAAGCCTTTGTGCTTTGTTTGTTAGCTTTCTTTTTGAATATTGTATATGTCTTTCTTCTCCAAATGTGCCTTGAATTTCAGGCTGTTGGAAGTATTTTAATAGGGTGTTGATAGGTGAAAAAATGGGGCCTCTGGGACATTGTTTGACTTTTTTTTGTTTTAGGAAACATTGGGAATGTCCAATCTCTACTGAAAAATCTGGAGAATACATTTGTAAAAATATATGTACACAATATTTTTATCATAGATTAGGAATTTTAGAAATATATCACTTGTAAATATTAATACATTTTAGTAGCTCTGATAGGAATTTTAGGAAAGATTAAGATTAAATGGGCACAATAGGACCTGAACAATGCAGATGTGTCAAATAATAGACATCCTACGTTTTAGCATAAGAAGTAATATAGGATTTGTTTTTGTTCTGATCAGCCACAGGTCGTGAAGAATTAACTTCAAGGAGTCATTTTCACATTATTTACTAAAGATTAGATGTTAGGCTAGTTGTAGGTCCTAAAACATTTTCTAAGAGTTAGATGTACATCCCTTTCATCTTACCTCAAATCATTCGAGTACAATCAGTACATCAACCATTAATGTTGTGCTAGAAAAGAAGAAATCTTTCTTTTTGACCTAAAAGGGGGAGAGATGTCTTTAGTTGAAAATTTGTTGATAAAATCGAACACAAAAGAGAAGAAATAATTCATACATCTAGTATAGAATGAGCACTGCATCATTGTCTATCAATGCAGAATCGAAAAGATAATTTTCTTATTGGTCCAATCAAATGGAAATTCAGTTTGACTACAATTAACCATCTCAGCGTAACTACTGTACAATAACAATGTATAAGCAAATACGAAGATCATTCACACACGAAAAAAAAATAAACACTCACAGCCAGCGCTTAATTAATTAGACTTCTAGATGTACTTTTCGATGACGACAGATGATCTTGTAACACTCTGGCCAAAAGTGGGATGAAGGAGTTTTTAAATCTTCCTGTTCTAGTCCAAATGGAAAGTAAACGACCACTTCGTTCAAATCTGATGTAATAGTGGTTTAGTGCGTGCAGGTTGTCTTTTAAGAATCGTGTTTTGGAAAGGCATCTTTCGTGAAAAAGCTTTTCAAGAGATGGTAGCTGTGTTCGTTTGATATACAATGCTTTTTTAATAAGTCTATTTAGAAGTCTGTGCCAGTGAAGTATTACCATACCAGCAGGTAATGGCAAAGTTAATTAGACTGCTGATGGTTGCTGTATAAAAATAAGTTTATCCAACTTTCTACTTTCCCTCTGATTACATATAAAGAGCTGAATAAGTCAATGCTTCAAAGCCACCTAACATTGATGGTGTCCAAGTATACAGACACACCTGTTCATTTTCAAACCAACATTTTGGATTGAACATTAACACTGCAGCACGTAAGTCCTGTCAAATAATTCTGGAACATGGACAAGAATATGAATTTTTGGGTTCTGTCGTTTGGAACGTTGACATTCCCCCTCCCCATGCCACGCCTCAGACGCGATTAAGAAAATGACCGTAGATCTTAAGTTTGCAAAACAATATTTGTGAAAGCCAAAACGCAACTGATCAATGTTGCATTTGATCCAATTTCTAACTAATGTAGAACTGTGCACTCGAAAGTGCATGTCTATACAGCCAAAGTTTCTTTTAATTGTTGGCTTTAAAAAAATACGTTGGCTTAATTCTACAGAGTTGATGTAGCAATATGTACGATGCAGTCAACTGAACGGCTCATTTATTTGTTGAAAGAAAGAAACGCAACAGCAAAGCTCATAAAAGATTTATTGTTCATCATTTAGAATCACCTCATTTTGGTTTTTTTCACGCGGACCTCTATACTCCCTCTTCCTTTCTACTGCCAACAGCTGGTGAAGATTAGAACAAACAATGTATAGCCTATAATCAATTCTTGTGATATATTTGATTTTAATTATTTTTTTTTTAAGTAAAATTAGTAGATACGTTTTTTTTAAAACAATGTGAATGTTCAATATTTTGAATTATACAATATTTGACTGATAGGCCTAAGGTATGTATGTAACGTTAGATATGTCTAGTTGGTGAGCCCTGTTAGGACTTTCCCTTCAACTCTGTGTATGTGAAGATGACCACGTATACCTGGTACCTAGTTTATAAGATATTGAAGTCGAAGATTTTCTAAGGAAGTGTTTCTCGTACATGGACTCGATTAAAAAAACGTATGTCCCACACACTCTCTCGTGTCAGTCTAGAGTTATTTCTTCACGAGGCTATATGGCAAGATTTGATGAAACCTCTTCTCTGCCGAGTCGACAGTTAAACAAAGCCGCGTCTTTACTGACCTGTGGTCGATTTGTGAGTTGATAACGGTTGTTAAAGGGAGGGAGAACTGGCAGTGATACAGTTTTCATTCAGCTGGGACTTGTCCTGCTTAGTCAGCCAGGCACGAGATTTTTTTATCAAGCCGCTATTTCTTCCTGATTAGGCAGCCACCACACAAGTTGATGTGAACACACACACACACATACGAAGGACGAAAGAGAGGACATCCCAGAGAGGCGAGATATACTAGAGCTCTAGATCGACTTCTTGTTCAACACAGCCAATTAATAAAAGTCTTTCATTAATTTAAATTTTTTTAATATACGTAAAGCAAGCTCCATTTCATCACAAACATATATACAGTCTACTTGACCTACATCTCTCTAGTATTATCATTGTTTTGTTTTATAAGCATTAAAGAGCTGTAATTATAAACCAAAGTGATTGGTCCTATGTTATTTTCTGTTTTAAATTTTTTAAATTTTAAATTAATTTTCATGCACTTTTTATGCATTCTTTCTAATGAAATGACCAACATAAGGTGCATCTCAATAAGAAACAATTAAGTTGTTGAATTTAAACTCCAAGCCGCTTTATGTTTCAAAAGTTTTTTATTGTCTTGTGTCAAAGAAAGACTCAATATCAACCAGACAAGTAATTGTTCCATCAAGAAACAGCAGATTAAAAAACAAAGGGAGAGAATACATGGCAAAGCAAAGGTCAGATTCTCCACAGTATAATAAATTGTCGTAGAAAAGAAATACAACACCAGAGGAAATTATGCATAGAACAACCCAAAATGGAGTCCACAATGTGAGCCTTGTGGTTTCAATATTTCAACTAAGACGATCTCAACATCATATGCTAGTGTGAGTGTGTGGTGACTGACAGACATGGTGTCTGAATGCACAGAACTTGATGATTATCAAACATCAATACAATGTCTGGGTAGGTCAATGAGGAAAGGATTTTAAGCTAATCTATGGGGGAGTGATAATTTGTCTACAAGGTCAAGGAAGTGGATATCCACAAGTCAATGTATGGGGAAGTGGGCAATCAAGTCTACAAGGTCAATTTATGGAGAAGTAGACATGCCCAAGGTCAATATATGGGCAAATGGACACGGACATATCTTTGAGGTCAATATATATTGGGAAGTGTCATTGACTTCAAGGTCAATGGATGTGGTAGTGGATATTCAAAAGTTCAATGCATTGACTAAATGGCTTGATTTAAAAGGATGTACAGTACAATACAAAAAAAAAAAGATTATTATTCTACAAACTAAATGTAAAAAAAAAGTTTTTTGCAGCTTTTAATTTCTGATAATGCCTGTTCCAGATGCCTTCATTGATCAGGGAAAAAGCAATAACGCAAATGGTAATCAATCCAAATGGTTCTCTTTGATTATCTTCTTCTATTATTACTAACAACATTTCAATGAATTCCTTTTTAAACCCTAGACTTTCATCTTAGCCAAATAAACAGTTTCAATTAGTTCTGTAAGTAATAATACAAAAAAAAAGATATTTATTTAAAGGGCACACAAAAATAAATAAATAAAAATGTACAAGTACTGAATTACATGTAAGATCTTTCACTCTCTCCACCAACAAAATAGTGCTCAGACATTGAATGTATACAACATATGGTCACAATTTATTAGACACATAGTGAATGCTAATAATTGTATCTATTAATAGACTGATGAGATCAAAGAGCATATTCAATTTCAATATTTCTTAATCTACTTCAGTCTTTTCTTCTGTATGGTCAGTAGAGAAGTAGCTCTATAAATAATAGAGGTCCTTATTTGTTCAAAATAAAATGTCAGAACATTTAGATTAACAACAACAACAAAAAAAAAAAAAAAAAAAAGCGGCGAACAAAGAAATAATGACAACCAAGACCTAGTCCACATATTATATTACTTGAACCTAAGGAGGACACACCATAAGATTTCACAGGATAAATAAATCATACACCTCAGATTTCATTTCAATTTTTTCTTGTTGACTTCAGTTACATCCCCTTCTCACGAAACATTTTCTGCAAGAACTTGAACTTATGGATTTCTAGAAACTTAGGCAGGAGGGGGATCTGATAACATCTGATGCTGAAAGTGATACAATGTTCAATTGTAAGCAGAGGATAACTATTGTGTTGTGAATCGCTAACATCATACTATTGGATAATACATCAAAACATTGAAATGTTTAATGCCTCGAAGATCATGACATTAGAAATAGTATTTGTACAATTCAAAACTAACAACAATAAGAATATCTTTGGAAGTATCACAAATAAGGGAAAGAAAAAGCTGACCCAAAACAAAATATAATCTTATCAAATAGAGAGAATCTTTCAGAAAAAGAGTTCACTGTTAAATGACACTATTAAAAGACTGAAAAGAAACCCAGTAGGAACTGAAAGTTATAAGGAAAATAAATAATTGAAACTTCTTAAATGTATCTACCATTCAAAGTTAAGCTTTTAAACAGATGAGAAGAAACTTGAGAAATCAAGACACTGTAGTTTAAATTATTGTCACAAGTAATGAAAGAAATTCTCTGGTATAATAATTTAGCATAAATATTTTTATGAAAACAACTTTTTCAAAAGGATACTTAGTCATAGACAATCAATAAAGCAATTTTTGAAGGCAGGACATTTGAAGGATAATAACCAAGTTTGAAAAGAATGATAAAATAGCATAGACATTTGTAAACTTGAGTTCTAAGCGAATGTCATAAATCTTTGAAATATATTTCCACTGTGTGTCATGTCATGTCTGATCATCATATAAGCAAGCCTTCAAAGTGCAGAAGTTTTAATTTAGTTGTTTGCCTAAGAAACTTTCATTTTTATTCTCTTAAATGTTTATATACAGTATGTTCAGTTCTCATATAGAATAAATAACATGTATATAAATATATTACTCAGTATTAAACATGTATGCTATTTGATTACAAGCATCATAGTATTCATGTCAAGTTTTTATGCAATACAGGAGAATGGATTCAATAAGAATGGCATTTTGCATAGCAGAAAGAAAAATACAAATGGACAGAATGAAGTGGAAGCTGCCTTGGATTAATTGCATAGCTTACTTCATTTCAAGAGCTGGCACTGATTTAGGTACGTGAACCTTTACACTTTTATTATGAGACAAAGATTCCAGACCTTATGTTCTTACTAGAAGTGAAGATTAGTGTTAACTCTGCTGTGGTTAACAGTGCCTGAAGGTGCAGTTGTGCCAGCTAAACAACCCATCATAGCTTTACCTCTCTGAGATACACACACTCAATTGAAGCAAGGTCTACTAAGGATATCTACTTATGGCTTTTGTATTGGCTCTCATTATGGCAGCTGAAGATTTATAAGTCAACCCATTAAATGGATAAGCTAAGTTTAAACAATGTTTAAAGCTTTCATTTTTGTCTAGATCCAACTCAAAACTTACACTGCTGATAGGCAAAACATTGGTCTAAAGTAGTGTTTCCCAAACTTTTTCCTTAATGGGAAACATTTCGCATATTCTGAGTATTTATCAGATTACTTTGCTTATTTTTTAGAGAGATTAATTCAGGTGGTGGCCTACTAGTTAATTTATTATTCCAGTAGTTCATGAAACATCTATAGAGGCCCAGTGGAAAACTAGGATTCAGCAGAATACAGTTTGGGAAACAGTGGTCTAAAGAATTGCCATGTACACATTCAAAATGAAACAAGAAATTGAGAGAAGAAATGAGAATCTCTAATTAAAAAAAATACCTTTAAGTTTATAGAGTTCTCTCCATGTACAGATTCTAAGCAAAACATCACAGTATTAATTTCCTCCCCCCGCAAAGAGCAATCTACAATCTTTCAACTAAGAACAGGACACACACTTCTGCTAAATTACCATCTTAACAAAATAAATCCTGCACACCTACCCCTTTGAGACAATGTTAAGCCATATCCTCTTTGAATGCCCCTTCCTAATCCTCCTTATGCAGACCCTATTACCACTACAGTCCAACATAACCAACACTCTGTACTGCAGTGCTGAACAACTGAAGAGAACAGCACACTATTTTTCCTTGGCACAATCTGCAAAAGAGCTCCCAGTTCAGCAGCAAAAAGCTGGCTAGAAGAAGTAAAACATCAGACACTGCAGGATTTGAATCCCATCTTTTGGCTAATTAAAGGCAATCTACAACAAATTATCTTAGTGACATTTGAGCAATGAAGAAAAAAAAAGGCGGTCTGTATTCTTAGGACATGATAGACAGCTGTAGAGATGTACATGATTTATAACTATAAAAGCTGATTTAAAAAATTGTTGTCAAACAGTTAACTTAAGCACTGAAGAGATCCCTAGAGAAATGAGTAAGGCAAGGCTGAATCCAATGTCACTTTTCTGCATTCATCACTTAATGAGCGTCTGTGTTTTGGTAGAGAATAAGATTTGATGGAGAGATCATCGAAGTCTTGAGACAGTTTGGTTGAGTCGAACACTTCTTGGGAAGGTGAGCAAATGTCACTATCACTCTTGATTGGTGACCTTTGATTCACATAATGATCACTGTCTGCGCTGTCGTAAGACAGGTCAAGGATGTCTGCTGATGAGTTTGAGCCCACGCTGCTTATGCTCAACCGGTTTTTGGCTTCTTCTGACTGAGTTCTGCCATTTTTCAAGATGCTTTTGGGCCTGCGTACTACTTTGGAAACACTTTTACAGACTCCACTATCTGGTGACTCGTCAGTGGGTGAACTGGTTTTGTCTGCAAGGCAGTGAACAGGAAGATTCAGAATGTCCCTTGATGTTGTAACAACAGATGTTATCTGTGAAGAATGAGCATAAGATCCAGAATTATTATGTACAGGTGTAAGGCAGTGGTCGTTAAAGTCATGTAAAGATGCTGAGCACATGGTAGGTGGATGGACAGATGATAAGGACGATGATGAAGGCGAGAGGTGATCCTGATCTTGGCGACGATGTATCAGCGGTGAGGAAATGCTTTGCGTTGGTTGAGGCAAATTGCCAACAAGTTCGCTATTCCCAGCATGCAACAAATGACTAGCTTTGTGTTTGGATGAAAAGATGCCGTGAGCCTCTTCCCTGAAAGAAGGAAGCCTTCTTGGCAGATGACCAGATTTAGGAATGCTGGACTCTTCCGACTTAGCCACAAGCTCTTCCTGCATTATGCATCCGCTATCCCCACCAGAAAATTTTCCTTTTCGTTTTAATATACCTCTTGCAGGCTTCCTTTCAGAATCAAAAACAGAGGAAACAGTCTTTTCATTTTGGTCTGATCTGGTTCCTTCAGTTTGGCACTTGGGATTATAGCTCTGAGACACATTACTGTTTCTGTCCAAACTGTTGTCTGGGTGAAGAAGAGCAGCTAAAGATTTACTGCTGCAACCTTTTAAAATTTCAAAAATATCTGGGGATAGTTTCATGAGACCTGAAGCAATATCTGCTGAGTTCACCTCAGGGAGGACCTCCTCGTCCAACTTGCTTTCTCCCAAAGGAGCAGGACTGCTGGCCACTGAGGAGGACACACTGTTGCCCGCACTGTCCAAGGCCATTTTTCTTCTTGACCAACGGTTAGGCCTGAAGTCCAACTCTAAGTCAGAGTCGGAGGAAATGCTGCTCTGGTTTCTGTGGTGGATGACTGCCAGGTGATCTCTGCGGGATGAGTTACTGGTAGGCTGATCATCATCTGTGCTATATGGCACATCATTGGGCATGTGTGAGTGCCCAAAGTTGATCCACCAGTGTCTGAGGGCATCTTCCATGGTGGCACGGCGTGTGGGGGTGGCAGTCAACATATGACGTATTAATCCAGCAGCATCTAAAAAAAAATAATAATGGTTAAATTTGTTGCTATCACTACGTTTTTTTTTTCTTCAACAATTAGTTTTTACAGTAAAATGTGTCATGTCTGCTTAAAATTGATAGAAAACTACAAAAAAATCTGGGTTACTTTAACCATCACTGACCCAACATACAGCAGAGGTAAAAGAGAAGTGGGGGGGGGGGGGGTTACCACCATAGGTTAGCTACGGGACTGTGTCATTGATTGTATGTCTTCCAAACGTGCCTGCATTGATATAGAATGCTTGGTAATTCAATGGATCTCGCGACACAAAACAAAACACGAGATGTGAGCACAAATGTGTCTTGTTGCTGTCGATGTGTGTCTGCGAGACTAAACAAAAGTGTTCCCGTACAACTTTAAAAAAAAAAATGTGAGGGGAGGGGGAGCGCCAAATTGTTGGCTCAAATTACGTCTCACAAAACATAAATAAGGAAAAGAATCAAGTCACACGCTAGTTACATCATGCCACAGGTCACGGGAGCAAGTGAACTTGACTAGAGCAGCCCAATGTCATCTCTGCGCTGTCTAGCTTAATATAGGCCTACCAAACGGTTCATACATTTAAATACCAGTAGCTCATATCAGCAGTATCTCTGTATTGGGGGGGGGGGGGGGGAGTTATCAGAAGTAAATTATTTACATGCACATTTTGTATTTCTCGTGCACATAAATGCATCATTGTTATGAATGTATTGAATAGTTGTTTTGTTATGTTTTTAGTTTCCTTATCATGAAGACACTATTGCTGAAGTGTTAAAAGGTGTGTAAATAAGCACAATCAACGAAAGGTTACAACATGTCAATAAGTTCACATAAAACATTAACTTCAGATAGAGTGTGTTGCGATTCCATTGTAAGTTGTCCTCAAATTGAGTCCTAATGAATCTGTGCATAAATATAATAACGCCGTGCAAATTAATTCAGTATGGTATAAGCACTCGACAGTGGACAGGGGCTATCAGTTTCATATTTGTTAAACATAATAATCTAGAATTACAGATTT